AACTTATAATATACTGAATCTTATCCATTGTTCTTGATGGGGGAATCCATCCCCACTGACATATATATTACTTCAAGCATTATTTTTAGTGGATACCTATATTTGAAGAGAATTTCAATTTTTTTTTTCTGTTATTTTTATTTTTTTTTTTTTTTAACTGTTTATTTCATCTACTGGGCTGTGCATTCAACAAGACCTTAGTGCTACAAGATCTTCCTACTGTGCAAAAAGTCACTAAAGTAGATTAATTTGAATGCATTTACACAAGCTTGTTAGATAGGTTACTTGCTGCTTTCCTTTGTTCCTTTTTCCTTTAATACATCCTGTGAGTGTTGAATTCTCTAAGCACTCTTTCCTGTTTATGTGTCCAAGAAATTTCAACAAATATCAGCTTAATGATTGAAGCAGTTGTCTCCTGTGAAAGTAATTAGTGTTTGTGTCTAGACAAAAGCCAGGATATTTAATATTAATTTTTAAATAAAAAAAAAAAAAGTCACTGGCCATTTCAAAGGTTGATGCTACAAGATCTTCCTTCTCTGTGAAAAGACACTAAATTTGATTAAATTAAATTCATATCAAAATAGTATAAATACTTCTTCATATCTCTGAGTATATATAAAAAAGAAGTTTCTTTTGGCACTTTAATCTTGAACGTAGGAAAGAAAAAGAATTGATCTTTAATTAGTATAAGATTTTGGTTTCAGCCATTGCCTGGAAAAAAAGACCAAAGATGTAACATGAAGTGTGACACAAAGATCATCATCTTCTTATATATGCCGTGTCACTTTCAGAATATAGGTGATCATGGTTCTCCACAACTTCCTATCCTTTTTAGCTCTTAGTACGGTATGTTTTTCACCATCTCTCCCACTCCTTGTTATTTAGGATACTTGTTGTTTCTCTCTCTCACTTTTAGTATGTCCTGTGAGTATCAGATTTTCCAAGCCCTCTTTTGTCATTATGTCTCCTAGAAATTTCAACTATCTCTTTGTGTTTCTAAGTATAAGAATTTGTTTCCATTTTATTTAAAACTTTGTTAGATGGTCAATCCTCGGTAATTTCAGCATCCTTCTCTAGAACTATATTTCTGTTACCTCAAATTTTCTCTTCCTCATCTTCATTCAGCGTTCATTACCATATAGAAGGGCTAATATCTGCCTATATTTCTGAGATGAGGTATTATGTACACTATTTACATTATTTGGACTATTGTCCTCATCTTTGTTGCCATATTTATTACAACGTTTTGGCCGTTGTACGCTCTGGCCTTCTTCAGGTGGTTGGAATGTCAAACTGAACCCTTTATTTCGCTCACTGGGGTAGACTGTTCTAGTTCCACATGCCATATAAATTGGATGTCAGTTATCAGTTATCACATAGCACAGTGGATAAAGGTGTTAGGTCCAGTGACAGGACTCAAAGAGCGTGAGTTCAATACCTGGTTAAAGCCCTGAAAAACTTAGAGAGGGAATTAAGCAGGAGATAATAGTCCGAATAATGTAAATAGGAGGGCTAATATTACATAACAGTCCAGCAAGCTTTTCTTTGTTTCTAGTGAAGTTTTCTTGTTTCTTAATATTTTGCTTAGCTTTTCTTTTTTTTTTTTTGTAAGGCAATTCACCCCAAGCAAGGTGGACATGTCACTAGCATGTAAGGGTTCCAGAGGATTGAGAACAAAAGTAAAGAACCATGTTTGGGGAAAGGATACAGAGAAGCACTGGGAACATGCTCAGGGTGTCAGATGTTGATTGACATTACTCTTGAATATTTGAAGATTATAGTCATTAGGGAAGCAAGTAAGGGAGTTTCACAGACAGGAAGTGTGGAAGAAGAAGCTGTTTGTGTAGAAGAGATGGTTACATTTAACCATTTTGGCAGTGAAAGGGTGGGATCGAGATGCCAGCTTGGTAGCTTGCTTAAATTCATGTAGTCCGAGAACCAGCAAAAGTATCTTGTTGGAACAGTTACCATGAAAATACTTGTAGAAAAGATGGAGGAAGGCCACGGCATGTCTGTGGGATAGCAATTGTAGACTAGATGCCAGAAGGCAACTTTCAGTATTCCATTGTGCCTTCAGATTTCGGTGTCACATTTTCACTAGAATCATATGCACCCAAATTAAATTAATTTTTGCTTATCACCAGTGAATATTAAATCTGACAAAGAACATTACCAACCCAAGTCCAGCTCACATCTGGGAATTATAATGAGTAAATATGCACACACACATACAAATATATTCATGCTTTTCTTAGGGTCATTAATGTTAAGTGAACATAAATAGCTTATTTGTGCACCCACCAACAACATAAATATAAAAAATTTTCTTCACTCTGTACCACAACTCCCCAGATGTCAAGGTTGACAACAGTTTTAACAGCCTTTTGATGATACTTGAGCAGATAGGGAGTCATGGGAAAGTGATTTACTCAAGTGCCAACTCACCTACTCTTTCCTTATCACCAGTGACGAGAGTTTTTTTTTTATTAAGGTTTCTGGTAAAAAGATAAAGCACAAGGAGAAGTGGTTTCATGCTTTTTTAGTGTAAAGTCAGCATGAACAGCTTTTGTCATTTTCTTGTTTGTGTAGATAAATTCTATACCAATCCCACAATCATACTTCATAACAATGCAAGTATAACTTTCTGTACTCTGGCTGTGAGAAATCCATGTTCATTCTCCTTAATACCTGGAACCAGCATTGAAGCTATAAGGAAAACCCTGAATTTTGGATGTTGATAATTGATAGTCTCTCTCCTCAGGTAAGCTGTTTGTTCTCAGTAGAGGCTACATATTAGTTGAATATTTTTCCCATAGTATTATTGCAGATTACTTGAAGATCTTTCCTAGTAGTTCAAGTAGGTCTTTGTGTTACACACTATCAAATAATACATAGGCAAAAGCAGACATATACATATCTATTGCAGTTTGTTGATATCTATTGGCCAAATCATGTACCTTGTCACAAGTAATGGCGTTGTAGAGGACCGTGTGGGTTCGAGTGTTGTTGAATTAGAAACATGTGCTGTTTATTCCTGCTAGAAGGTCCAACTACAAGAACAATGGCAGACTCAAGTTGTGTCCAACCGAAGATGTAAAGAAAACAAACAAACAAGACCGATATATACATGTCAACAAATATATGTATTAAACAACAAATTTACAAGTGACAAAGACATTAACATTTGTGTTTCTGTGTGAACGTAAAGAGTTTGTATTTTGGTGAATGTTCGTACGTACGTGTATGCGTGTTTCATGGCATTTTCCTACAAGTGAGCAAAACGCTGATCTATGAGAAATCACATTTTTAAATGTGTCTGCTGAAATGCAAAGTGAAAAGAGAATGGGGCAAGAAGTTGCCCAGTATTTATAGTGTTGGAAGAGCATCCCCTAGTGAACAATTAGGGAATTAAGAAGGAGCTAACTCCGACAGTGTGTGAGACTAGTCTGATTGACCACTACGAGTGAGCAGTGGGTTCATTTCTTATTGGGTGCCTCAAACAAAATTCCACAAGAGTTGACCTGTTATAATATCAACCAACCTACTTCGTTTTGGGGGGTAATAGTTAGCAAGTCTACTCTGGTTGATTATTACTCCTGAGTGGTGAGTTCAATCCTTACTGCATGCACTATACAAAATTTGATGTTAAATAAACCAACAATGCTTGATGGGTTATAAAATCAGCAAAACTCACCTAACCCAACCATCACTGTTTTGATGTATCTGTTTCATTACTTAAACATTATTTTTAGTGGATACTCATATTTGAGTAGACGCTCCATTTATTTATTAAACAGTATTTATTTTAGTCTGCCAGCCTGAATATTTGAGAAATTTTCTTAGAAAATTAAGTGTTCTCCAGCAGGATTTGAACTTGCATTCTACTAGGGAAAACTCATCAGATTTGACGTGCTTTGACACCTCAGCTATGTAGTGTGTCAATGCCCAAAGAGTGAATAGTGCCTTTAAGCACAGATCTTTCTCTGACTCACAAAATAAAGATATCTGCTCAGTTTCCTATCCCAATGTAAACAAAGCAATTTCTAATAAAATTTCTTGAATATTTAAACCAGTAGACAAAAATAAAT